CATGGCAAGTGCTGGCAGGGGATTTTCCTCATGCTTCTCCCTCATCTCACACAAATCATGGTGCTTGGGTGTGGAGGGGACCCCAGCCTGCAGGAGGCTGGGAGCAGAGTGTGCCTCAGCACAAGCCAAATCTTCTCTTGCCTCTGGGGATCTCCTGCAGCTAAGGCTCTGCCAACACCTCCTGCTGCAAAGGGGAGATGTGCTTATTCCTCACCTGTGCTGTTGGCTTCTCCGTGGCTGCCCCCAAATGATGCCCCTTGGCATGGCCCAGGGGAATGTGAGGGATTACCCTGAGGCAGTCAGCTGCTGGGCTGGCTTGGTTTCAATTTAATTATTTCAAAGGAAGAAAATGTTAAAAGGCTGCTGAAGCCAAAACAGTAGAAAGGAAGGTAAAGGATATCCAGCCAATACATAAGGAAAGGGAAATGAGAGCCCTGAGTGCATAACTCTTGCAAGTTGTTAGCCAGTTAATTCCCTGGTGTAAATGCATTCAGGTGTGTTGGAGAGAGGCCAGGCTGCCCAGGTAAGTTTTATTATGATAGCTAGAAAGAAACAACAGTTTATTTTTCTCCAGGCAGAAGCGTAACAGTGGGTTTCGGCTGGATCTTGTTGGGTTCCCCCATCAGAAAGGTACAACTTTGGAATTTAAATCAGATGTGCATGCAGAGAAAGAGACACGAAGACTTCTGCTTTCAGAGGTAGTTTGTATTTGCTGCTTGTTTACTGGTGTGTCATCTCCAGTTTGTAAGCAGTATCTGTTAGGTCACAGTTGGCTGAATGTTTTTATTGCTATTTTAAAAATGGTTGTTCCAAGGTACAAATTCTAGTGGCGAGAGAGCAGCAACTCCTTCCTCTTTCCTGACCAGGATGCTGAGTGGAGATGTACACAGTGAGGTACTGTGTGGTGGCTGGAAATGCCACCTGCCAGGGCAGCAAGAAGCAGCTTTTACTGTTGAGTATGTTTTGGGAGGATATTTGAAACGTACATGGGTTAAGGCATCTGTCTGGGAAGCAGCTTATCCTGCTGGCTCTCAAGGGACCCCATCAGCTCTGACAGGCAGCAAAGTAACTGCTCTGTTTTGGGACATGAACTGTGGTGGTCACTGTGAGTGCCCAGCTACAGGTGGTTTCTGTAAAAGCCCTGGCCCTTCAAAAATTGCTTATCCTACAGGAAGAGGTGAGTATCATCTGTTTTTATCCATCCCTGCATCCTCCTTTTAATTGTTCCTTTCGCTTCTATGGCATGAGATCTGAACGCCAGCAAATGCTGTATGTGTGTTTTCAATAATCACATTTTTAAATGAATAACCAGATGACAATTTCTATGTTTCAACAGCAATAATTGTCTCCTCCTATAAAACTGGTGATTTAACTACACAAGGCCCCAAATATGAACATAAAAAGTTCAAAGCTCTGGTAAAGGTTCCATACTGTGCCTGTGCAGTGTGCTGGCATACAATGTGACTTCATGAAAGGAAATGAAATCTTGAAATCAAGGAACAAAATGAGCAGAACAAAAAGGATATTAATTATGATGAAATGAAAAAACACTAGAAAATTCTGAAACTGAAAATATTTAAACGGAATGGGATGACAAGGTACAGTGAAAAGTTTTGAAGCTTGCCGAAATGACACAGATTGAAATCTCAAAATCAAGGAATGAAGTGAACCACAGAGTCAGAAAAAGAATTATGATGAAATTTGCTCAGGTGCACAGCACATGGGTGGTAGCAAGGAGCAAGGTGTGGGGAGCAGTGTTGGGGTATAGCTGTGGTCCACTTGGCATGCCTTTTGTAGCTGCAGTGGCCCTGGAGCTCTGGGCTTTGTTAGGGCTAGGGTTTTCTTAATCCTAACCCTGAGTGGAGCAGTCAAATCAGCGTTTTCTGAGGCTGAGGTGCCCAGCCCATGGGTGCTGCCAAGGAGAAAAGCATGGAGGGAGCAATGGTGGTACAGTGCATTGGGGTTTTTTGCAGTAAAATGGATTGGAACGTGCCAAAATGATGCTCACTGAACTCATGTAGTTCCATTTGAAGAATGAAAATTCTTCATTTCATGAAAGGAAATTAAATCTCCAAACCAGAGAAGGAAGGTAACCAAACACACAGGAGTGTGGAGGTATGATGAAATTAAAAACAATTGAAAGAAAACCTGAAAATTCTGAAATTGAGAACTTTTAAGAGGAATGGGCTTACATAAATTGCACTGTAAAGTTCCAAAGCTTTTCTAAATAATACCCGTTGAATTCTCCATATCAGGGAGCAAAGTGAGCTGAACATGCAGAAGAGGAATTACGATAAAATGAAATGCAATCCAAAAAAAAGAATACCTGAAATGAAATGAAAACAATTAAACTGAATGGGTTGACATGAAGTGCAGTGAAATGGACTGAAACTTGACGAAATGTTACTCATTGAAATCACAAGATTTCATTTCCTTTTATTAAATAATGCTGGGAGAAAGTGAAATTAAGGCCATTATTTAAACTACTTGAGTAAATATTTTTTCATGTTAGGGCCTTGGAGATCTGACTCTGGGGATTATGTCACAGGATATATTTTCTAAATTTTCTTAAATAATATCTTCAAGGTCTCTCAGTTATTACCATGGTGATCTTGCTCCAGCTCAGCATTGAAATTTCCGAGAGCATTTTATAATCATATTTGCGAGGGTATTCAATATATCTGAGTTTGCCTTCATACTGAACTTTCTGTAGGAAACCAGACAGGCAGTTTATACTGGGATGTGTGTTGAAGTTCAGATATCAAGTCAACCAACCTGTTTTTTGACAGAACCTTGGATACTTTTGGGCTAGAGCAGATTAAATTTACCTTGCTTTGAATAAATATGCAATGTTTTTCTGCACTGCCAGAACAAGGCTCCTGTGTTATCTTGTTTCTGAATGAGAGGCAAGCTCAGCCCCAGAAATCCTCCAAGTTCATAATCAGGCTTGTCTTAGACGGCTGTACTGAGGAAACAGAGTTTGGCCTTTGCTGTACTGCAGAATCAAGTTGTCAGGAATTTAAGTGGCTGTATGTAAATGGAGCTTTTGGAGAGAAGGTTGTTGCATTGCAGCAGGGATGTATGGGCTAAATTTAGCCACTAAAATAAACTGTAAAACACACAGTTTTCTGCAAGCTGGAATGATTCCATTTGACCGAACATAGAATTGTTCCCTTATTAAGCTGATAGTATCTCCCAACAAAAAGGTTTCAAGCTGACCCTGGCCCTAAAGCTGCCTTGGGGAGCCAAGTAGCCAAGAGATTGCAGCCAGGTGTTTCATAAAGCCAATGCTTTTAATGTTGCTTTCACATTGGCAAGGAGCAAAACAGCCAGCCTTCTGGAAAGACACTAGCCAGTGCCTCTGGTCCCCACTCTCCTAAAATTGTGTTCTTGTTCTATTTTATCCCCTTTGAGACAGGGCTGTAATTAAAATGTTTTTTGGTTTTTTTTATTCCCCAGTGCAGGTCCTGAAACACTGCCACTGCTAAGGCAATTTGAAAGGAGGGGGGACCAGTCCTAAGAGTTACCCAAAGACAAGGTTGAGAGTTTCTGATGGTGAGCTCACAAAAACAAGGCCATTTCTGCATGCTGGACTATGGCACAGCATGTGTATTGCATATGTAAGCTCCTGGGGATTTTTTCCAGAGCATTTGTCCTCCTCTGCACAAAGAATGTGTTTTATGGCAAAACACAGTAAACTGGCACTGGTGCAGGTGCAGACCCAGAGCTGCAGGGGTAAGTGTAGATCCCACTGTGGGCTAATTGACAGTCTGTGTTGGCAGTGCCCCGGGTGCTCCGCACTGCGGTGCTGCGCTGCATGTGCACACTGAGATGGGGCACTGCGTGACTGCCTGCTCGGCAAACCTCAGGCCCTGAGTGCATTGTCCTTGTCCCCTCAGCATCCCAGAGCAGAATTCCTGACACTCTTGCTAAGCCTCTGCTTCCTTCCTGGTTCCTAACCAAGCTTCAAAAATATCCTCGAGTGGGTGAAGCTATACTGGAGAGAGTCTTTATGGGAATCATCTAACATGAGCCCTGAAGAGGGGCCAGACTAACCATTTCAGGCTCTTCCTCCCTCATCCTTTTTTACTCCTCCTCCCTCTAGCTCCTTTTCTATTCCTATCATAAGTTTTTCTTACGCTGTTGGATTTTTCTGTCACTGAGAGTGCTTGGCACACACAGCTTTAAAGCATGGTCCCAGCTGTCACTAATTTGCAAGCTTTTGTTTCAGCTCAGTAATGCTCATATGCCATTTTCTGTCTGAGGATCTCAATCTGCATCATATCAAAGAAGCACCACAGAGCACAGGGGAATGGAAAATTTTAGAATCCCTACTAAATGCAAAAAAAATGGACTCACACTGAAGGAGGTATTTAAGCTTCGTTAGAGGTGGCAAACTTGGGAACAAGATCCCAGAGTGCTGTTTAAACCATGCTGTTGGTTCTTGACTAGGTCTATTACAGATGATCTCTGCAGCTTGTATCTGGGCCACTGTAACATTAGAGTTTTCAGATTTGGGCTTGTCTTGGAGCTTCCTTTAAGCGCGGGTTTGTTACTCTGATGGGTAGTGATCAGCTGAAAGCTGATGTGACAGGTGCGTCGGTACTCTTTCCTAGCCATAGAAATCAGGGTATTAGTAAAAAACGCAGCGCGGTGAAACGCAGAAAGCCGAAGTACCGCTGTGGCAGTCCGGGACCCGCCTGAAGCTCCACTGGGTGCCGCGGGGCAGGAGAGGGATGCCCTGGAGGTTTAGGGGAGGGGAGGCGGGAGAGGGAGACGGGATGGAGCGCGATGGCTCCGCCGCCCGGGGCTCTACCCGGCACCCCCGCTGCGAGGGGCCGCGGCGGGCGGGGGCGGCGGTGCGGGGACACGTCATGCGGGGGGGAGAGCCCGGCCGGCCGCGAGTGGGCTCCGCTGCGGCCGAGTGCGCTGCCTCTGAGCATGCTCCCGCGGGGCTCCGCCGCTATATAACGGGGCCGGGTGCCGGCGGCAGCGGCTCTGCTGAGGCAGCGGGGAGCTCCGCTCCGCTCCACACCGCGCTCCGCTCCTCGCCGTGCTGCGCCTCTCTGCACCACTCGGTGCACCGCTCGACTCGGTACCGCGCTCCGCTCCGCTCGGCACCGCACCGCTCGACTCGGTACCGCGCTCCGCTC